CCAGTTTGCACCTAATCTAAATCAATCACTTCTTTAAGCATCTCAACTCATTTCTTCTCATATCCATAATTTACCATGTTACATTGATTTACTACGATGCAGAGGAGTGATCAAGTTTCTCACTATCCGGGAGAGACGGCGATTCGAATCGATGTACATCCAGCTGGAGTAAACCTTAACCAGCACGATATATGCAGGTCCCGAACCTACATATATCAACCATTCCCTCGGATCCTCCAAAACATATGAACGGGTTCACGCCACCCGAGAGCATAGTACTCCACCGCCCTGCTTCGTCCCGAACGGTTATCTCGTAGGGTGGGTACTCGCTGCTCCCGCCATCTCTCCACTCCCAGTGGCGGTTGTCCTTTCGCATAATAAAATGGCCGAGGTACTCAGGCTTACCGAGGGCATGCAGTTAAATACTTTCAATCTTGATCAGCAAGTCTACAATCGGAACGGTCCTTAATCGACACAGGCAGAGCACTACATCAAGACTCCATTCTTGATACAAGCTAACACCCGCCCAGTCTCATATTAACCATGTCTCATGTTCCATTAATTTATTTCTAAGAAAAGAAAATATTTGTTCGAACGATGAACTCATCATCCGACTTCTAGAAGCTAAGCAGGGCTAAGCATCTCTACCCTATAACTACTAAAGGGTAACAAGGAAAGTATTGAAATATCAAGGTAGGCATGCATCAATTGGTACTTCAACCAATTCCTATATCACTTAATGCACATATTATAGGACTCGAATTATAAAGGCATTTATAAATACAAGGAATGGTTTGGATACTCCGGGGCTTGCCTTGGTTAGTAGAGGTATTAGGTTCTTCCGTTGAACCACAGATATCGAAACCAACCTCCACTGGTGAATTCTCTTCCTCTGGAACTTGATGAACGGTCACTTCCTCACCTTCGATTACACGTGATAAAGATGCATGCTTGACATGATGATATGCAATAAGCACGATGCATGAAAGATGCATACAAGTGCATGGATGAACTTAAACAAGATTAACAAACTTGAGTATAACTTTCCTTCACGATATGATTAAGTTAATTACTCATAAAACAATTTTAGTTATTATTTATTATTAATAAGTTGATTAAGAATATAACAAGAATGTGATTAATCTGCCAAGGAACAGCAGGGTATTTGTGTCCCAAGGTCTACAACCAATCCAAAAACAACCTCCAATCATTTTATAATTTATCCTAATCATTTTAGCATTTATTAATTAAATAATTAAAGCATGTAAATAATTGAATAAATTAAAAAATATCAAAACAATACCAAACTTTTTGTGGAGCTAGGTAATTGCACATAACATTAACACAAAAAGTTTCATGATTAAAGGTTAATTATTTTTGGACTACAAAAATTGTTCAAGGTCCATTTTATAATTAAAAGAAGTAATTTTGAAGCATGCAAATATTATTGATTTTCATCATTTCATAATTTTCCTAGGTTGAGCACATCATGAAGAGGCTACACAAAAAGTTTCATTATTTTATCACATCTCTATAATTTTCTATGATATAAACAAGAATCAGAATATTAATCCATTTCTGAAAAAGAATAAAATAGATTAAAACTTTTCTCACTCAGGACCCGGCTACCCGCGCTCACTGACAGCAGGGCCAGGGTCAACTCCGGTGGCTCCTTCGCGCTGACCGGCGGGTTCTAGCCGCCGGCGAGACCTCCGGCGACGCGGCTTGCACCATACTGCACAGGACGACACCACGCATCGGTATAGGCCATAAAACGGGCTACTAGGGTTACGTGACGAGTTCGATACTGACCATGGCGGCCACGGCGGAAGTGGCGGCGGCGCGCCGGACACGAGGACGCGGTAGAGGTAAAACAAAGGCGACATGAATCATCCGGAGCTCACCGTGGACCCATTAGACTGCTCAGTTGGGGCGGAGACACGACGCAGATGCGTCGCCATAGACAAGGGCGGCTGCGGCGGCGCGGACAAGGCGGCGAGGCAACGTTTCGGCGAAATCTGAGCACAAAACGACAAACGATTAAGACGATGAGCAACACGCAATCAAGTAGAGCACATAATGGCAGGTGGTTGACCGAGTTGCTCACCAGAGTGGCCTGCCCACGGTGAGGTGAAGCTTCGACGGCGGGGAGGACTCCGGTGAGGTGAAGCTCGGCGGCAGGGAGGACTCCGGTGAGGTGAAGCTCGGCGGCAGGGAACACATGAAACACATCATAAGCAACATATTCATGCTATAATTAAAACATGAAATGCATTTATGCCTTAATGCTTAATAGTTATGCATGATGATGAACATGATCAAGTTTTTATTAAGTGCTTAACACCTAAGGTGTTACAAGAGACCCCACGAGCGTCGAAGGCCGCCGCCGTCTCTGGGACCCCTGTGTCCCCTGCGTCGCCGTTAGGTGGTGACGCCACCACGCCTACCCCGCACATGTGCAGCATGGCCAGATCTGGCGCGCCCACGCCACCTCCGACGCCAGGGCCGGACGATGACATCGCCGCCATGATTGCCCAGTGTGCATGGAGGTGGTGCAAGCCTGCGCCGCCGTCGCCGACGCCAACACCACGCCCGACCGGCCCGGGCCTGTGACCGACATGTGTCTGGCCATTGGTGCCGGGCGCCCCTAGCTCCTCCCTCTCATTGGCAGTGGCACCGTTCTTCCTAGGACGTTCCACGAGAGGGCGTACGAAGAGTTGGCGGTGGGCGGATGACGACGACGAGGAGACCGATGTTGACCACCTCACAACCTACCTTGATGCCGCCGCGTCGCCCGGAATCCGATCATCGCGTTGGTGCGCCCGCAGCCGTTCAATCGTGGTTCGGGGCGCGCGAATCGCGACGCCGGATGTGGACCTCGCGCGCGGGCGAAGGAAGCGTGGCCACGCGACCCTAGCTTGTGCACGGCTTGCCTGCCGGGCCGGGATGGTCGTCCCCCGTGGTTTCGCCGACGCCGATGGGTGGCGAGAGATCTTACCCGGTCGCTGCCTGCCTCGGTGCCTTGCCTAGTCTCGCGCGCACAAGCTCGAAGATCCCATTAGCTCCGCGACGGCACCGTTTCTCTCCTCCTCCGATCGAAGGACGCGACTTCGCCGGTTGCCACGGCGTTATCTCGTATTGTCATGGATTGGGCCACCTCGCCGAGGGGGCAAGCGGTCCAAGTCGGTGCGGATGGTGGCGATGAGCCGAGAACCCACCAGATGTTGACCACCTCGCAACCTACCTTGATGGGACCGCCCGAGGTGTTGTGGGGTGCCGATGACATCCGTCGAAGTCGGAGAGCGACATCGATGCCATAGGGGTAAGTCGGTGACGGACATCAGCATGGGCACTCCTATCGTGCGCCGACAACGCCATCGCTCAATCGTGGTTCGAGCGGATCCGCTGGTGGAGGCGCTGTGCGAGAGCGCAGGGCCTCCCCCTTGGCTCGTCTCGGTCGACCCGATGCTAGACGAGCTTACCGCCTCGCTCGTCGCAAGCCGACCAGCGGTCACACCAGCGCTTGGGTGCCTACATGCTGTGGCAACTGTCTCTCAAGTGGTTCAAGCTTCGTTGGTGGACCCTGCTCCTCTATGCACGGCAGACCAGCCTCCGTCGTCGCTGTGCAGGGCATGCCTCCACAGATGGGACAACCCGTTGTCGTGGGTGCTGTGGCACCAGGGGAGGATGGTGAGGTCTGGCCAAGCACATGGCGCGTACTTCTACGCCAGCGCAGGTTGGCCTTTCGGAGGGCCAAGCCACAACTGACCCTTCTACGCCGACGAATGACGGCCAGCTGGATAGTCAAGCCACGCCCGACCACAGCGACGCGACGCCCACGTCGCGCGAGGCCGCTCGGCATCTCGCACAGTTTACCGAGGAGGTGCAGATCAAGCGAAGGTCGCCCTTAATCGTCACTCTACCAAGGCAGAGGGCGGCAACCAGAAGGCCTCTGCCAATCAGGAGCAAATGGATTGCCGCTCAGCCACTAGCGCACATACCGACCTCCAAGCGGGGCGAGGTACTCCTCATGTAGAAGATGGGCATCGCGCCGCCGGTAGCTCTAGTTTCATCTGCGTCCAAGGGAACATACGACGCCATATTCACAGGGAACTTGACGTCGAGCCACGTGGCAGCTCCGGACGAGCTGTTCCCAGCGACCAACAACAGGGCTGGTAGAAGAGCACTCTTCTCGGATGGCGGAGTAGGGTCACACAGCCAGCAACGGAGACGCCCAGCTCCGTAGGTTGCTGCGGTGCTCTTGTTTCGATTGTTTATCATTTATGTAATATCAAAATTTGAAACAGTCTGCTAAAAAGGTCCGATCATAGCTGTAAGACCACCTAGCGCGCTCATTAGAAGTGTGTCGTCTGTATGATTAAACTCTTCTTCTTAATTACAATGATACACAAATCTTTTGCGCATTCGAGAGAAAAAAAACTATTTACCCTTAAGCAACTAGCATTGTACTCCTATAAAATTCATCCAGGAGGCTTAGCAATACGACAATAAGGTCCTGCTTGAAATACCCTACTCTAAACTTTAGAGCTCCAAAAGCTTAATTTAGAACACTTTATCTCACTTTTGAGCTCTAATGTGAGATGAGTGAAAGTTGAGAGCTAACTTTTGACCTTGTTTGAAGCTAACTCTAAAGTTTAGAGCTATAAAGTTTAGAGGAGCAAATCCAAATAGACAGTAATTCTATCAATTATGTTCTCCAACCGTGCAATCTATCCAACTTGTTAGTGTATGTTGGGATTGCGAAAGGACAAGTTTTTCCCCTTTTGGTACTCTTTCTCGTAGTGATTGGATAGAAAATTTTATATCCACTCCAACGTCGTTTTATCACTCATTCGCATAGGATGGAGGCAACTTTCCTGTTTTTTCATGTAATTTTGTAGTTTTTCAGTGTTTTACAATCCTCGGGTTTTTTGTATATCCATTTATTTCGAATCCCTATGTTTTTTTTTCTATCTACGTGGTACTGTTCTTACGGGGCCCTAAAGCCTGTTGCACTGAGCAGGAACAAAAGATAACATGTTGCCCACCAGGTCGTAGAGGACGTGGAGATTCTGTTGCTGGTAATTGCCGATGATGGTCAGGTCATCGCCGGCGTTGATAGCAAGGCAGGTGACGCTGCCGCCTGCGTCCTCGAATTCAAACATGTAGTTCTCCCTCGGCAGGTCCAGCGTTGCGCCCTCAAAGTGCAACACCAGCTTTGGCACGTCGGGTTTAGCTCGCCGCGGCACCGAGAAGCAGAGCTGCGAGAGCGACGACGACGTCGCGTTGTCCACGGGCAACCTCACCTGAGCCGTGAACGCGTCGTGCACGAGCTTGTACGCGTCCTGGGGCAGCGTTGTCATGCCGGTGCCAGAGTCGATGATCGTGCCGCCCGTCCCGTCCTGCTTCAACGCGAACGTCGACTCAGGAATCGGCAGCCTCGTCGAGCCGACGGTTATGCCCTTTAGTGACAGGTAGTATGCTTTCAGAGACGAGAAGTTCTGGACCAGAGGAGTGGACTGGACTTCGCCACTGGCGTCGCTGTAAAGGTTGGCCGGAAGGCCGAGCAGGACAGAGCTGGGCTCCGACCCCGTTATGGCGGTGAAACAGTGGGAGAAGTTGTCCACTTTGAGCTGCGACGGCAGGGACAACACGCCGCGCCCAAAGCCGGCGATGCCGGTCTCGTTGGACGTGAAAATCCCGTTGTTGAAGAGACCGCAGCCGAAGGCCAGGTCCGGAACGGTGGCCTGCCCGGTGCCATCGGCGGCCGCGAACGTGAAGGTGTCGGCGTCGAGGTGGCCGGTGGTTATGGAGCCGTCGGCGTATGCGTAGACGTAGACACAGGTTTGGTTTCCCCAGTTCTGCTTGCCGCAAGACGACCAGGTGAGGTTGTCGCACATTGGCGAACTGCAGGGGAGCACGTGGAACGTGGAGGAGTTGGACGGGTCCAACGGTCCGAGCGCCCGGCTGAAGCAGACGGGGCACGGTCGGCACTGCGTCCAGACGAGGTCGCTCCCGGTGTCGAGGATGAGCTGCACGGGCTGCGGCGGCGTGCCGATGGCAAGGTGCACCAGGTACTCCGTGTCGGGGACGCCGTTGGTGTAAGGTCCCGGGTCTACGCGGGCGCTTGTCGCGCGCCCCGAGGCCGAGAGCAGCCGCGCGGCGCGGGCCTCGCTGCGCGCGGCCATGCGGTGCAGCAGCTCGCGGCGGGTGAGGCTGCGGCCGCCGTCCGCGTGGTGGGCGTGCAGCTTCAGTGCTGCCGCATCGCAGCAAGAAAAGGTCAGAGCAAGCAACGGCAGCCAGAGAACCATCTTTTTGAACGAGAGCAGTAGGAGAGCTATCTTCTGAAGCTGCTTCATTTGCATTTGGTTCAGTTCCATCGAGCATCAGTGTTATCTGCATGTTTTTGGAACAGAGATGGAGGCTTGTATATAAAAGATTTTGTACTTGCACTAATTGAGCTGTGTTTCGCAACTTGTGTAAGAAAAATGAAAGAAATTGATATCGTACAGATATAATATCAATCATTTTCCTTATTCTAATTTCCAACCCACAGGTACGGTCTTTCACGCGTACAACTCTAGCTACCGTGTTGCTTACGTGCTCTTTCTGCCGTCTATGGTCATTCCTCCTGTATGCTTTGTCAAAAGATGTACGTCGTGAAAAGGATAGAATAATAAAAGAAACACAGAAAGCGGACCATTCTTCCTACCTCTTGACAGAGGGCAGAGGCAGAATGGAAAGGAACAGGTCTAGACTCGGAGTTGGTGGAACCTTAATGCAGTGGAACATGGAAATTACCGATTGACAATGTGGGGTTTTAGCTCACTGGCTCGCACAGGTTTGTCACATTGCAGTTGCATCCATTCTTGGAACTACGGCACTTCAATCTTACACTGATAATCAATCTTGATCAAATATTCTTATGCTGGTTACAGTTAACAGTTGAAATTTACTTCAGTTCAGGTCAATTTTTAAATAACAGTAGGATTTTTTTTCCCATTTCAAGTCGACCTTCAAATAGTAACAGTGATAAATTAACTCCAACTATGTTATCGAATCGGTGTACCTTTAGATTCATGAACAAGGACTACGGATGTTGAAGATGTTACAAAGCTATGCCTCATTCTTCAAATTTGTACCTGCAGTTCATGAATCAGCATCATTACTTCAGTTTTGACAACAAAATCTGGTGCAAATTATTCTGAAACAAAGACCTTGCCAAAGTAACTAGTTTCACCCGAAAACATATATTACACTCTTTTTCTGAAACTTTACATGTTTACATACAATACAAGGAATAATTATAGGGCTGGTAAATCTGTCGTTAAATATTGATGTCCACAGATACAAATGAACAGACTAACATTTTAAAGAAAAAAGGTAGTTGCTTTACCTTGGTCCACTGCTGGCAGTAGAATTATGTTACAAGGAATGTAAGTGAATTTCCATACTTGATCTCCACAAGTAATTGTCTAATCTGACCAGTGACAACCTGCACAGAAAAGCACAATGTGCAGTCGTTGAGATCCCACGGCACACTAGTGTACCCCATCTCTGTCGTTTTGTGAATTGTGACTATTTGCCAAACTTGGTGAGGTGCTTTAAGATGAAATGCTGAATGCTACTAGTCAATGTTTCACATCTATGATTCCGAGCATCATACCAGGTACTAGTATCTGCAGAGTCGAAGTTTAATGTGAAATTAAAAACATGAATCTAAATGAGCGCACAAATTTTCCAAATAAAATATGACTTAAGTAGATAACATATAACAGTAATTTTCACCTCAAAGCTTTCTTCGCCAGACTGTATCAACTCAAAAGATAAATTGTTCATGTTGAAATCAGAGGCTCTGCATTACAACAGAATTCGCAGTTGACCATGTGCTGATCCTGGATGTACCTCATCTTCAGTGGAAATATAATCCTGAATGTGTTTCCTATAATAGATTAAGATATTACTAAACAAGGCATTGAGGCCTTTTTTCTGTATGAAATTAATAGGAAGCATGTATCGTAGCCAGTTTAATTAATGATTTGGAAACTAAGGGTGACTGTCTTGCGGTAACCAGACTTACCAAATGAAAGGCTCATCAAAGAGATGATGTGAAGCAAGGAATTTACTACAGCATTCGCCTCACCAATAGTCCCTGCATGAGCAAAACCCATCTTTGAAACGATGGAACCGATTTGCATCTCTCAGTATGATTTCCCGAGATGTTATCTTAGCGATCAACTTTATTGCAGAGTGGCAATCACCACAGACTCTGAGATTTTTCATGACACGAATAGGCAATTCTTCTGGGATTTTCAATAGTCCATATGCCACAGCCTGCCTCTCACTGTGATACCGTAGGCTATGAGTTTTTTGCTCATCATCTATATCATGAAGCACAAAACTTCCATCAGCTGAGTATCCAGATTCCATCAACAACCCATCTAACTTCTCCAGCATTTTAAGGATAATAGCATGCTCTGGATGTGCTAATACATCACCCGATGTGAAGAGATGCACCCTCTTGTCGTATTCTATCCAACTACAGCCTGGTGATTTGTTCAAATGCCTTGAGCTAATGAATTTCCGCATCTTAGAAGCATCTTCCCATCTTCCAGAGGATGTATAAATGTGAGACAGCAAGACATATGGTCCAGCATTTCCAGGCTCTAGCTCTAAAAGCTTCTTAGCAGAAATCTCAGCAATCTCAGCATTCTTGTGCATCCTACAGGCTCCCATCAAAGCTCCCCAGATGACAGCATCTGGTTCAACTGGCATGGTCTTTATCAAATCCAGTGCTTCCTCCACAAGTCCAGCTCGACCAAGCAAATCAACCATACAAGCATAATGCTCCAATCCAGGTTTGATGCCAGAATTTGTACCCATAGAATTAAAAATATCCCTGCCTTCTTTAACTTTTCCTGTGTAGCTACATGCTGTAAGGGCCCCTATATATGTAATTCCATCAGGCACCATCCCAGCCAACCTCATGTCATCAAATATGCGGAGTGCTTCCTCTCCCAACCCATGTTGGGCATAACCAGTGATCATGGAGTTCCACATCACAACATCTTTGGGCTCAAACATGTCAAAGACCCTTTTGGCCTTATCCAAATTCCCACATTTGATATACATTGTGATTAATGCTGACACGGCAAAGATGTCCATATCAAAGGAGCACCTCAGCATTGCACCATGCACCTCTCTCCCATAATCAAGAACAGCCAGTGCTGCACATACCGTGAGGACGCTGATGACTGATGGGTAGTTTGGACGGATTCCAATGTGCAACATCTCACGGAAGGTAGACAGTGCCTCCATCAAGAATTCATTCTGTTCATATGCTTTGATGATTGCACTCCATGTTCCATCATCTCTCTCACACATCCTGTTGAAGACTGCCTTGGCAGCATCCACCATCCCCCGCTGCCCAAACCCAACTATCATTGCATTGCAGGCGGCCAATGGGTGATCTGGCATTGCATTAAACAGCTCCTCAGCATCCTCTATGCGGCCAGCCTGTATATACCCAAATAGCATTGCAGTCCACGACACCTCATTTCGCTCAGGCATCACCTCAAACAGCTTCCGAGCAAGGTTCACCTGCCCATTCTGAGCATAGCCAGAGACCATAGCGGTCCACGACACAACATTCCTCTTTGGCATTTCATCAAACAGTGTGCGCGCCTCAGCAATCCGGCCAACCTGGCAGTACCCAGACAGCATGGCAGTCCACGCAACAACATCCTTTGCGGGCATTTCGTCAAACAACTTGCGAGCCTCGTCAACACGGCCGGCGTCCAGAAAGCCACCGAGTAGCACCGTGTACGATATGTGGTTGCGCTCAGGCATCTGGCCGAATAGCTGTATGGCGTCAGCCAGGAGGCCGTGGCGCACGTACCCGCGCAGGAGGGATGTGAAGGAGACGACCGAGGGCGGGTAGGGGATGGTGGCGAGCGCCGCGGCGGCGTCGGGGAGGGTGTGACGGCGCAGGGACAGGCCAGAGATGAGCGCGTTGTAGGAAGCGAGGTCCCGCGAGGGCATCCGCTGGAAGACGCGGAGCGCGGCGTCGGGGAGGTGATTGCGGAAGTAGCCGGCAAAGAGGGCGTTGTAGGAGGCGGTGGTGCGGAGCGGCATGGCCTCGAACGTGGCGCGAGCGCCCTCCATGTTCCCCGTGCGTGCCAGCCGGGCGATACGCGCGTTCGCGTCCACTACCGCCGGCGCCGAGCTGGACGGCAGGAAGCGGACGGCCGGGAGGCGCATGGCGGCAAGGTATGAGAGGAACGAGCACGGCCGCACAGGAAGTCGGGCTTTTCCGACGGATGGCCACTTCGTTGGATTGCACTCGCCGAAAAGATCTTGGGTTTATGGTTCTGTACTTTCGAAATTGTACAGTTCTCCCATCACATTTACCCCCTCCGTCCGAAATAGAATTCTTAATTCTTAGAAAAAATATTGGGTGCAAACTATGGAAACGTGAAAACCCTTCATAAATATACCCAGAGGTTTAAAAAAAAAAAAAAGATGCACGTTCATAGCGCTATTGATGTACATTATTGCAAAAGTTAAGATACAAAATCTTTTTGTAAAATTTCATAAGAAATGACAATTTTTTTGTGCTTATATGCTAAATGACAAGATCTCAAGAATTTGTCTTCCAGTGCATGCACACGTGATTTTTTTCTATTTCATATATATTTTAGATTGAGTTTGCATCTAAATTTTTGTAGAGATGCACTATGGATGTTTATCGTTTCTGAAAACTTAGATATGTGTTTTTTAGGGGGTCTTCATGTTTTCACTGTAGGGTTTGCAGTCAATATTTTCCCTAATTTTTATATCCGAACAAAAACATTCTTTTTAGCTTTATTCTAGTCAAACCATCTTAATTTGATCTAGTTTCTTTAAAAGAAATACCACATTTACAATACATTTATAATGCAAATAAACATCACTAAATTAAAAATATTTTCATCATATAGCTATTTTATTTTATAAATTGTGATATTGTTTTCTATAAACTTGATCAAATTAAAGAAATTCGACTTTATTGAAAGCTAGTAATAAGTCTTTTAGGAAGAAACCAGGTCCCTAGCTTTAACCAAGTCTATAGAAAATACACAAACATTTATAACAATAAATTAGTTCTTTATTAAATCCATCGTGAATTCTCTCTTGATGGTGCCTTTAT